CAGAGACAAAGAGCGCAATAGTGTGCGATAAAGAGAGCAATAGCGATTAGGTCTACGTTTTCACCGCTACGTAGTAATAGTGTTTCAATGTCCATAAATCGATTAAATTTTCATTTGCAAAAAAAGTTAATTAACAGGATTAATTTAAAACTTTTATAATTGCATTTTCCTAATTAGATAAGCTTCCTTCCTATAATATTCCATTTAATTTATGAAATGCAAACATAAAGATTTATAAATTTTAGTTAATAGATCGAAATCAGAGCTGAACATAAACGATTCAAATTTTTAATTTATATATTTATAATATTAAATAATTAAGATTTTTAGTTTAGTGTATAACAATTAATGCTCACAATTTAAAAAATTAATCATATGTGATTAATTTCTTTAATGGATTGCATTTAAAAATTATTATTATTAAATTATTGTTTTAAATTATTTAGATATATTTTGTTCTTACTTAATAATAATTAAAGATAATTTATATGTTGTTTTAATTAAAAAAAAAAGTCTTGTACTTGTCATTCATATACTGTACTACTTGAAACTGTAATACAAAAGAAATCTATCATTTATTTATTCGTATTCATTTAAAAGCAATATTCTTAACCAATTTTTTATAACAGCAATGTATTATAAACTTTTTCTTATTCCTTGCACTTTCGTTTCTTTAATATACGTTTTTTATACTCTTTATAAATCGTCGGCATTCCTACTGTTAATTGTTGTAATAAAAAATGTGATTATATAATAAAAAAATCGATAATTTACCTGTTCCTTGATGTCTTGAAGTTGCTGTTGAAGTTTCTGTATATCACTATGCGATGTATCTCGGCTACCGTTATTCATTAAAAGAGTTTCTCCACTTCCAGTATTCTGCTGCGATAGTTCTTCCTCTTGATCGTTTTTCAGCTCTGTTATTGTTGCGCCTTTTAATACATGAAGTAACATATATGCAGAAATAATTTTTACAACTTTACTACTGGATCATTGAAAAATTGTCCATATTTTAAACTGTTACAGCTTCGTAAAAAAAAAAAAAAAAAAAAAAAAA